TTGTCGGGAAACGTGATTGTGGAGCATGCGCACATCTGGCTGTAATGTGTTTGGAAAGTGGTCACGTCCTGCCAGCGGGCCGTGGGAGCGGTAAGGGGTTAAAAATACTCTTCTTAAATATTTTTTTAAAAAATTGGAAGTATATTTTGAGTGAAATCACCCTTTAAAACTACGTCGCGCACCCGAACTAGAAGCCGTGCACTTATACGGCCGTAGAAGACAAGTCCAGCCTCTACGTGCAGCCCTCTACCAGCAACCCTATACGTGCGCTCTCCGGCTCTGCAGACAGACCCTTCCTATTGGATCCGATCCGCAGCAGTTCACATCGTTTCCGGCCTCATTTACTACTGCTCATGCGCAGAGCCAAGAGCGGCTATTAGTGGAACTATTATTTAATAGCAAGTTTTGGTAATTTAACCTTTAAATTGCAGCTTCATGTTGCTGTGTCATTTTGATCTGTTCTAAATATTTGAATGGCACTGAGTGCACACTGTAGTCTAATTGCAGCTCAAATAAAGCAGCTACAGTTTCACTTTGAGACATGCTTTTGGCTGTTTTTTCCTTTCTTATAAAAGCAAAGTCTATGCTTTAATAGTATGAGGCTTTTGATAAAGCCATCTTAAACAAATGTATCCATGCAAATAAGGTATTTCCAAAGAAGTTTAGGAGGAGAGATGGTATCGGTATTGGTATCGGTATCGGCAGATACTCAAAGTTGAAGTGTCGGTATCGGTATCGGTATCGGTATCGGAAATCAAAAAGAGGTATCAATCCATCCCTAGAATATAGCAATAGCCACCAAAATGAGATTGACAGCACTTTTAGCCAATCAAAATCAGCAGAACACCATTTCGTCGACGACACACTTCAGCGCAAGTCTGTACTTGCTGCCTTCCCTCTTCCGACAAAGCCTCTAAAAGACGCCCGGAGTGATTTCACTGTAACACAGGAAGCAATACTAACTGGGTCCAGTGTGGATTTACCGATAAAATAAACTTCTCATGGCAAAACAGCTAAGGTAAGAGACATTTTACAACTACAGTTTAATGAAGCGGTTTTGGTTTTTGCTGTTCTTTGGGTTGTTTCTTGCTGATGCTTTGGCACCAAAGACAGTGCTGGTGGGGACCTCCTGACCTCAACTGAGGAGGTCGTCGGGCGGTGGAAGGAATACTTCGAGGGTCTTCTCAATCCCGCCGTCACATCTTCTGAAGAGGAAGCAGAGACTGTGGACTCAGAGGCAGACTCGCCCATCACCCGGGCTGAAGTCACCGAGGTGGTTAGAAAGCTCCCCGGTGGCAGAGCTCCGGGGGTGGATGACATCCGTCTTGAATACCTCAAGACTCTGGATGTTGTGGGACTGTCCTGGTTGACACATCTCTGCAACATCGCGAGGCGGTCGGGGACAGTGCCTCTGTATTGGCAGACCGGGGTGGTGGTGCCTGTGTTTAAGAAGGGGGACCGGAGGGTGTGTTTCAACTACAGAGGGATCACACTCCTCAGCCTCCCCGGTAAGGTCTATTCCAGGGTACTGGAGAGGAGGATATGACCAATAGTCGAACCTCGGATTCAGGAGGAGCAGTCTGGTTTTCGTCTCGGTCGCAGCACACTGGACCAGCTCTATACCCTCCATCG